TGCTATGTAGATTGTTGAGAATTTCGAACTTGAAATTTTATAAAAAAATCGAGCATTACTATATTCGGAAAAAAGTCTCATGACCCGTGTCAGGGGAGTGTACACACCCCTACAATATGTTACCGGAAATTCCAAATATTAATGGATCGGGCCAAATTTAATGGAAGTATTTTTCATTTAAATTGGATCATTGGATTTTGAGATATTGGATTTCAAAGTGGCAGATTCGTTTTTGGGAACATATTGTAGGTGTGCATATATCGAGAGTTTATCAATAGATTCAATATACATGTATTCAACTTCAGATCTTCCTTATTTAAGATTAAGATAGAAATTTTCTGGCGCTATAACGTAATTTGTTATTGTCAATTTAAATGTCAACACAAAAGACGACCCGTTCTCTACCATATATTCTAATAAGTGAAATAGCAGCACTTATAGAAGACTCCGATGATAAAGATGTTTCTGTAAAAGTCGGTCAAGACAACGACGTTAAAATTTTCACCGCCCATTCTATAATTTTGCGTGCGAGATCGCGATATTTTAAAGTTGCTCTTTCACATTCGTGGATTCGTAAAGAAAATGGGATCATCTCGATGGATAAACCAAATATACGGCCAATTATTTTTGAAAAAATTCTTAGGTAAAAATATTCTGGAGTTATAAGCGCATATTTATTAACACAAAATTAACGTTAGAAAATTTTACTAGGTATATTTATACTGGTGATATTACCTTAACTTTAGAAAATGATGATATTTTAGATATCCTGATTGCAGCCGACGAGATGATTCTTGAAGCGTTAATCAAGTCAATTCTGGACTATATTATTTCGGAAGGGATGGATTGGATAAAAGAAAATATTGTCAAAGTACAACGAGTTGCCTCAAGCCTTGAAGCATGCAAAACACTTTCGAATAAATGCAACGAGATTATGAAAGCAGAACCAGAAATCATTTTCAAATCAAAATCTTATTTGACAATTGAAAAAGATTTTTTACTTGATTTATTGAAACGAAATGATTTGGACATGAAAGAAATAGAAATTTGGGACCTTCTTGTGAAGTGGGGAATCGCACAAAGTGATGAAAATCTAAGTCTCGACAATATAAAAAACTGGAGTGCCGACAACAAGCAGAAATTGCAGACAACATTAAAAGATTGCATCACGCATATACGTTTCTTTCAAATAAATAGCGAAGATTATTACCTCAAAGTTTATCCGTTCAAATATATTCTTCCTTCGCAGCTTAAAAAGGATTTGAAAGCTTATTATCTCGCACCTAAATTGTATCCTAAGGAAAAATTGGAAGGATACGCTCCTAAACGTGGCAAGGACAATATCAAGATGGGTTTCGCGACACAAACTTTCGGGAAAATTCCTATTTTTGAGACATCTTTCGGCGAACTGCCAATATATGATTACCAAACTAAATCCGAACAGTTGGAAAAAGAATCAGAAGAAAAGGAGCAAGCAGTTAGAAAAGTACGGTACGTGAGCAACAGCGTATTAAAAAAAGCTATAAGCAGATGAAGGATATGATCGGAATACTCCGTCTAAGGGAAGAATAAAGAATGAATATACTCTCCTGTTGTACAGGGACCGAAAAAGTTCTTGGATTCACAGGTTTACTAAGTTTTCATAAAATTTACCATTAACTTTTTGAAATATGATATTATTTTTATCCCAAACATACATATTAATAAACCAATAAAGTTCATCGTGAATGACTACTGGTGCAGACTTATGATGATGCCATAATGTTGTTTCACACGTTAAAGAACCATATCTGACGTATGTCGTAACAACGACGTATTGCTGTAACAGTTACGTATGCCGTAACATTTAACATAATTCTTTCATCTATATCGTACCATTAACATGTGTTATAACCTAAAGAAGAACAATAAGAAAATAATTTATTCTTAATCATCTAATTCAATATTTAAAATTGTATCAACAAGGTTCTCAGGATTAAAGTCCATATTAACACTGCTTTAAACACTAGTATCCGAAGTATCAATCAAAACTTCGTATGATACATTCTCTCTCTCTTGGATCCCGTAGGTTTACAATATCTTCTAAAATTAAATTCGTTTGGACTAATAAACTTTGATCCTCATATGTATTATTTTCATTTACTTCCTCCTCATCTTCAATAAAATTATTTATTGAAGCAAGATTTATCATTTCAGACAATTCAGATCCAGTTAACAAACACAGTTTTGAAATAAGTTTATTTCATATATTTGTCATGTAATATGACCTGATTTTCGCCATGTTCTCAAGCTTTTAGATCCCAAGACATGTGCATTTATCACTAATAAACCACTTGAATATAGCTGTTGAAATTTCATGTATCATTGGTTAAATACTTGAATAGATGCAGATTTGAAATGAAATTGATTCAGAAATCTAATAAATTGCTATAATCAACTTAATCATATATATATAACAGTTAACTAAAGATACAAAATCATCTTCTAAGATATTTTTACAGATTTTTAAATAGATCTAATTTGTTAATAAGTAGTAAAAAATTTTATAATAAATTAAAAAGTCTTGTATTTGTACTTATATTGAAAAGTTCAAGTAAAATCTTATTCAAGTTATATAGATATAATTATAAATTGTATATTAATATTGATATAATTATAAATTATATATTAATATTAATAAAAAAAGTTATATATCAATTAAATATAGATATATTTGTTAAAATTATTTTGAAAAATGCTAAAATATTAAAATTTAAAAATTATATTAGATTATATATTAATAATTAAATAATATTTTGATATTCAATAGAATTATTATATTATTAAAATTCAAAAAAATTTATAATAATAAAGATATATTATATATTAATAATTAATTAATATCTTAATTTTAA